ATATATATATATATATTATATATTATTATATTATATATATATATAAAATCGAATTATGCGTATTTAGAGATATTATCGTCGTCAAATGGACCACGAGCCTTCGATGGATCGACCGACGGAGGTTGACAATACACGACATTCGAATTTCCCGGAGAAATACTCATTTATCAACTATTTTTTCACGATCTATATATATATATATATATATATAAATGGAAACCAATCGATAATTTGTTATCTATCTCTTATTGTCCTTCCTTACTCGATCCACGAATTCTCGTCGACATTGTATCCTGTGTTGCAATGGTCGGTGGCTGCGAATTGTAATTTGTATAAAGTCAGAAATATGTGGATTTTATTTATAAAAAGAAAAAAAAAAACTCATGTTCGATTAAATGATTGTTACCGTAACACGAAGTTGCCGATTCGTTTTACTTCCCATGATCTCCTTTCCTTTCCCCTTTTATCATCGATTCAATCAATTACTCTACTTCCATCAACATTTAAAACAACGAAATATCCAAATATATCGATCGAGCTAATAAAATTAAAAAAAAAAAATGATATAAAATAATCAGTCGAACAAATTGGATCGCTTGAATCAATTCACGCTCTCTTCTTTATCTACGGTTATACAACGTTTAGACGCGCGGTTTATTTACGATTTATTTCGATGTATAAATCGAAATGACCATCATTGGCGATGAAGTTTGCCATTCTCAAGTGGAAGTTTAATCGAAGCGGAACGATATCGACATTCGCAAGGTGAAAGTTGGCAAGTCTTTTCGTCCGAAATAATCAGGCTGTAATATACTGTTGAACGACGAAACGTACCCTCCGCGGTATTTATGGAGCCAGCCAATCAGGAACCACGCGCAGGAGATCTGCGTTGCGTGTCCCGTGTATCCGGATCTCCTCTCACGTGTTCTACGTGCCCGTTTTCTTTACTTTTATTTCACCTTAAGTGTGGCACCTCGAAGGGGTCCACGTCCGTATTCCGCGTGCTTGCTTACCTCGCTGCAACGAGCGGCCGCTGTTGCGCGTTTCGATCCTGCATACGTGCGTCACGGTCATCATTACTACACTTCCTCTAAGGATATTAATAAAATTTGTAAATTATCTATTGTCGAAAAAAAAAAAATTTGGTAAAAGATCGATTTTTATTATTCCTTAAAATCGATCGATCGAATCGAAAAGTAACTCGCGGTGCAGAGTTGAGCATTACAAAAAAATGTAAAGTTACTTTAAATAATATTTATTCGTAACTTCTTCAATTTTGCCCATCACTAGTCGCGTTATACAAACATATTATCGATATATTGTTTTCAATGTAAGAGATAATAAAACGACAGGAATTATTTCGATTTAAGAATTTGAATTCTCCTTGATCGAGGATTTTAAGTCGTTTCTTTCTTCGCCGTATATACGAGAAAAATACATCGCGAGTCATTTCATATAACTCGAATTCATATAGCGCGTAACGCGCTAACCGCGTTACACGGGAGCCGCCCGCTTTATATCTCCTCCTCCTTATGCTCTCCTTATATCTTCGCGTGCGCGTACGACTTGTAAAAACAAAAAATTGCGCTTACATAATAATAATAATAATAATTTATCTTCCGTTTTGCCTAAAAGACTCAACCCGTGTCTTTCCTTTCTCAATTTATCATCCTTTTCTCCCAGTTCCGTTTCCCCAATTAAATAATAAATAGAAAGTTTTTCTTCTTTTTCCTTTTCCCCTTATCATTCTCGTATAATTTAATTCCTCGCGAAACGTGTTTCCTCGTCTGTCTATTTCCTTCTCGAAAATTCCCAAATGGATTCGAATCGCTTCGTAGACGAACGAAAGTCAAAACCGAAACTTATTCAACGCTAGCTTAAATTCGAATGAAAAATTTTTCGATCCTCATACATCAATTTTTTGATCCTCGAGTGGCGTACAAATTCAACCTGACGAGGCTCGTTACGCTTCGTATGATGGGGCAAGAAGGAGATTCGTCGTAAGAGAGAGAGAGAGAGGGGGAGAGGGAAAAAGGATCGGTAGACAGCTTCCGGAAACAGGTTGTGGAATAAAGAGCACGGGCCATTGTTAAATGTAATAATATAACGGGGTTACGGTCCCAAAGGTTATACGGCCTCTTCTCTTCGTGACGCTGTCTCCGCGGGGAGACAGGGAGACGAGCGAGGTGGGACGAGCGCGGTGGACGAAAGAGGGAGCGAGACCGCGATCTTCTTATTTTGGTCCGACTACCGAGATCCGTTAAAACCACAAGCGCGGATCACAGCCACGAATGAATACCTTGCGATAGACCTTGCGATAGACGGTCGGCGTTTGAGGCCACGGGTCGCGAGCGTTGCCCAATCCCGAATCCCGGACGATCGATTCGGGATCCCTATATAATAATTCGTTCGTTAATAATCGAGGGGATATCGAGCGAGGAAAGGACGAAGATCGAGGAATAGAAGTTAGAGGAGTTGTCACGGGTGGAAGAAAGGGATCAAGGAATCCTGACAGCGTGGCCTACGTATCCAGTCAGGCCAATGACCTAGATTTTTGGGGCCAGCCAAGGCCCAGCCAGGGGCTTCCTACTCGAGCGATACATCTTTTCTAGGAGACTGGTTCCTGGTTGCCGCTGTAAGAGGATTCCTTGGATCGCGCAAGGAAATCGGAGAATGGGAATTGACTGCATACCTTGACCATAGGATACGATCGATCTCTCTTTCATCGGTGGAGCACGATGAAATTTTGCCCCATCGAAAAATATAATTCGATTTAGAAACGGCGCGATCGTTAATATCGTAGAAAAATTCCAGCCTTGTGCGCCGCGTTTCGCAAGATTTTCGCCGGGGAACGCGCGTTCGATGCGCTTCTCGTGTTGCAACCTTTGCTCGTGTGCAATTT